TGCACCTGGAGTTTTGGATGAGTTGCCTGATTTGTCAGCCGAGACCTCGTCTATCGACTGGTCGCCCCTTTCATGGGCAGCCTTCTTGCAGGCAGTGCAGAGACTCAAAAGTGGAAAAGCTGCGGACAGTTTAGGCTCTGGTCAAGGTCAAGGACACGATTTCTGGACAGCAAGCGTTGCAGAGCTCCACACTATGTTGTGCAACTTTTGGAATGGTCATCGAGGCGGCACAAATTGAGCATTGGCATGACTCCAGTTTGTTCGTAATATATAAAGGTAAGGGTTGCTACAACGATTTTTTAATCACCGAGGGGTAGTTCTTCTTGTGACATCATTTCGAAGCTTTGCTGTAAGCTCATCCAGTCTAGATTGGCTGAGCTCGCGGAAAGAGTGTGTTGCGAAAATGAGCTCGGATTGAGCAAGGGTCGTGGCTGCACCGACGGCACCTTCATGCTTCGTAGATTAATTGAAGAATGGACTCACAGTAGGCGAGAGGGAAGCTTCTAACTTGTTTGTCTTGTTCCTGGACCTCTCTAAGGCCTTCGACGGGGTGCCACGGTCATCCCTTTTTACCTTGTTGCAATCCAAACTTGGGGTCCCGGCCCATGTGATCCAAATGTTGCGGACCATCTACGACAATATGTCAACCCGAGTGTGTGGCCCTGCGGGCTTGCTGAGTGAGCCAATCCCAATGGCCACTGGGGTCCGCCAAGGCAGCATAGAGGGTCCTTTGCTGTTTTTGGTGTACTACACTTTTGTTGTTCGTTTATGGCAGCAGCGCAGCTCTCACCGTTTGCAACACCCTTTTGGTGTCCAATGGGTTTCCTCTGAGGATGGCACTATACGTGAACCTGGCAAAGTGAAGCGGATGGCGACACGTCTGCATCGAGTGACTGAATCGGCTTTTGCTCGACTGGGATGAGTTTCAGGTCTTGGCTGCCGAAATGGCTACGTGTTTGAGGGATCTTGGCTGTGATTTGAAGCTTCTTAAAGCAGAATGGCTTGAGGTCCCTAGTTTCTCTTCTAGCCGCATCCATTTTCGTGGTCGTGCTCATGGTGCATTACATGCCATGGGTTGGATCGTGGGCCTGGCAGGCTCAAAACAGACATGAGTGGGAGCGCTTGGTGTGCGGTGTCCAGTTGCCTCCATTAGGCCGAAATGCTGACGACCGTGGTACTACAGCTAGTGCAAGGGCTGCCCCTCGGCCCATGCCAGCTGATTGCCGTTGCACTTTGTGTCCTTTTGTTGGCAAAAACAAGCAAGGTCTTAGCCGTCATATTAACAACAAACATCCTGTTTCTAAACCTACTTGGTCTTGCGCGGAGTGTGGCCGGGATTTTCAATCCAAGTCCACTTTGACTAAGCACAGGTGCGAAGCTCGACCGGCTGCCCCGGCAGCCGCTGCTAGGAACTTTCCCTGTAGTCATCCAACCTGCACTGCCTCGTTCCTTTCGGTGTCGCAGAAAAACAGGCATGAGCGTGAACAGTGTTTGGCTAGACCTGGTTCGGGTGCAGTCAGACAAGCAGATGGCAGATTGGCCTTGTTTTGTTCATGTGGCGTTGACACTCCTTTTTACAGCCAACGAGCCCTGGCCGTTCACGGCGGTCGTACTGCACACTAGTTTCTGTGGTTCTTTTCTTGTTCTGCTGTTCATTCTTGCTGCTGGGTAGCCGTGCATGCGAGGAAGGGCTCGTGTGCGAGTCTCTGAGTTATGTGTTCAGTGACAGCTATTTTGTTTGCTCCGCTTTTTTTGGCCAACTTGTTGTCGCCTCAATGGCCGTGGCTGACCTCAAGAAGCGCTTGGACACTCTCGAGCGTTCCCACAAGCTCATTGCTCAACTTGCGTTGGCCACAAACAATTAAGGATGTTCGCCGAGAAAAGATTCGCCATGAACTCATCGTGCACCTTCGTGGGCCCGCTGTTGGTGAAGTGCAGCAGCTTTTTGATGACCATGTTAAGTCCAAAGAATCTGTTTCAAATGAGCGTGCCAAGAAGTCTCGCAATTCTGCGGGTGATGCCCCGGCGGCATGTGCTCTGGCTGACGCAGCAGCCCGGAATACCTAAGAAGAGGCTGGACGTGCCCAGATGGCTGTGGCAGCGGCTAGCAAGCTCCACTCCTTGGATGGGCAGATTGTTCTTCATTCCTGTCGTTTTCACAGCCGTGAACCATTGGAGTTAGAGGCTATCAAAAAGGTTTGGCACCTCAGTTTGGATGTCACTTTCTCTGGCGATGGGGTTTTGGCCATGCAGCTTTTGTCATACGACCTCGAGCCGCCAGGACGTCACTTTCCACAAGGCTTCCTCGCAGAAAGTTTTGGACCTCTGTGAAGATTCTCGACCTCGGCGACCCTGATGTTTTTGATGTGGTGGTGCAATGTGTGCAGTGCTTTGGGCAGCTCCCGGTTTCTTTCGCTGAACTGAACTTTTTGATGCTGGATCACTTTGCTCTTCTATTTCCCGGACTTCTTGGGGGATGGTCCTGGTCATGGCTATGGTTTGGTGTCCAGCGGCTTTTTCCTTGCCATTTTGGCCGTGGTGTACAACAGAGCTTATCATCGTCGTCGGAGGGAAGATGGAGGGGAGTGAGACAGGAGGTGCATGGGTGGGGACGGGGCTAGGGAGAGAAGATGGAGGGGAATGGGGACGGGGCTGGGAAGGGAAGATGGAGGGGAGCGAGACGACAAGACAGGAGGGTGAGGAGGGGGCTGGGAGGGAAGATGGAGGGGAGACGGGTGTGGGTGGGGACGGGGGCTGGGGATGGGGCTGGGGATGGAAGATGGAGGGGCTGAGGAGGGGGGAGCGAGACGGGAGGCGCATGGGTGGGAGGGGAGCGAGACGGGAGCTGGGGAGGGAAGATGGATGGGAGCGAGACGGGTGGGGGGAGGGAAGATGGAGGGGAGCGAGACGGGAGGTGCATTGTGCATGGCATGGGTGTGGACAGTTGCGCGGCTGATATGCTAGTTCCGAGGACATGGTTGCACTGCTGCGGGTCAGTGCACAAGTAGAACGAAGCCACGAAGCATGGGTGGGGGGTAGTGCTGCTCCATGCTTCGCGGAAGCATGTTGGGAGGTGAGTGGAGCTGTGTTGCGGGGCTTATACGATGGTGTTGGGTGTCCAAAATGTGCGCAATGCATGCGGCAGACAGTGAAGTCGTGGCCGAAACGGCAGGACTGTTGCGTCGAGCACATGGTTGCACCGCAAGCATCATTGCAGGCTGCTCCGGGTGCACAAGTGGAACGAAGCATGGGTGGGGGTAGTGCTGCTGCATGCTTCGCGGAAGCCCGTTGAGGTGAGTGGAGCTGTGTTGCGGGGCTGATACGATGGTGTTGGGTGTCCAAAATGTGCACAATGCATGCGCCAGACAGTCAAGTCATGGCCGACGCCCTGATCATGCCAACGTCGATGCACGCAACCGGAAATCTATGCCAAAAAATTAAACAGAAATGTCATTTGCATTTGCCACGAAGCCTGGAGGGGGCTGATGCTTCGTTTTGGCCTGCTAATGTGTGTTTGTTTATTTTTCCCGGGCTGCGCGCTTCTTTTCGCTTTTGGGTCCGCGGGCTCACCTTGTTTTAAATAGTTCCCACTACCGTCCACCACCCCTACCATTTCCAATACCTCTATCACTCGGACCACCCCGCTACGAGTCTTACCACAGTTACCGCAACTACTATTTTCTTTGCGTTGACGCTACCACAAAGGTGGATTTCTACTTTGCTTAGCCCAAAGAAACCCGAAACCACTGAAACCCAAAGACAACCGCAGAAAAGTCCCTATTATAGTTCCTCTCTCCTCCTATTTCTTCTTCGTTAAGTGGGATGCCTTTTCCGGAAGAACGCCTAAAGAAACCCTAAAGACAAGAAACCGAACCCAAAGAAACCCGAAACCAGTGAAGCTAAAGACAACCGCAAAGAAGTCCCTAGTAAGTGGAATGCCTTTTCTGTTCCCTCCCTTTGTCACTGTCACGCTGGCTTTGGTGCTTCGTCCCGTGCCCTTTCTGCTGCCCCTAGTGCTTGTAAAGCACTCCCAGCAGAAGCAAAAGCAAAAACAGTAAGGGAAAAAACGTGAAAACAATTTCCGGAAAAAAACTGAAAACATTGACGGAAAACATATCCATCCTTTTTATAGGCTTCTTAATGCAATTAGGCTTGGACGAGGTTTCCAAGCTGAATTTATCGGCCTTCCGGACCTTCCAGCTGTCACCCGCAAACCGGGGGAACAAGTGAATGGAGTCATCATGCATGAGTACACGCAGTGCACAAGCAGGGCCCGCCCAGCCCAGAGGGGGAAATGGGCACTGCCCGTTTGCCTTCTTACAGTCCGAGGCGGCATTTTCATTTTGTCGATTACAACAATGCCTTTGGTTTTTTCATGTTATTTCCTTCAGAGTGTGCGCGTGTTGGTCACTAACGGCACTCAGTTGTTCACACAAATTCCGCAGTTTGGCTTTCAGGTTTTGTTTTTTTTGCGTGCTGCGTCGCCATTTGGAAGCGACAGGGCACAATCAAAGTAACTGGGCGCATTCATGGTAGCACTGTTGTTGGTTTGCGTCACCAGATGTCGGATGTCCTTGACTTTCTTTTGCTGTTGTTGACGTAGGTTGGCGAGCATGTGGTTTCGCTATGCTGTGTTGGCAGTTGGGAGCTTGATGCGCAGATATGGCCAATGTTAAGGGTACTCCACATAGCCACGCTGAGGCCATATTACGGATCTCGCCGGGGTCTTGGCAATTGAAGGCGGTTTGCCCTTTTTCTTTGCTGTTCGATGGTTGTTGGTGCTTGACGCATGGGCATGTAAAACTTACATTTTGACCATGATGAGAGGGTTAGTCCAATTTCCGAAAAAAAGAAGGGTGTGGCCGTTCAAGTGGTATATAAACTTAACTGATGCACTGTCAACGAAGTGTTGGTACATTTTTCGAAGTGGAGCAAATCCTACCAACCCAGTCGTGAGTCGCTCAGTGTCGGAAGTTGTGCCGTCCACAGCGTGATGTTGCAGCCCGCCAAAGTCAAGGTTCAAAGCAATACAAAAATCATGAATGTGACCAAAAACAATTTCAATGAAGCTGCTGCTGAAATTGAGCGGCTGTTGCCCTCAGTTGACTTCGTGGCAATTGATGAGGAGATGACTGGCATTTCGCTGCCCGGACTGGAGGAAAAGATTGCAGACCTTCCTTCCGCACGGTTCGCCAAGATGAGGAAGGGCTTTGCAGTTTTGAAGTTAGGTTTAGGACCGAAAATGATTGAATTGATTGACCCATTCCCCACCCCAACACCGTCCTAGCAAAAGTGCATAAAATTCATTTAGTGGTTGGGGGAGCATTTCCGTGCAGGAAGGTTGCATCCAACTTCAATATTATCCAGTTTGGCGTCGCGCTTTTCTGCAAAGAACCAGGTCGCAGGAAGTATGTGGCTCATGCTTTCAACTTTTATGCCTTCCCTGAAAAGGGGCTGGTCAATATGGAAGCAGGGTCAGTTCACTTCAATTCAAGGAATGGGATGGACTGGAACCGGTGGATCTTGGGTGGAATCCCTTACTTGGATCAGGACTCTGCTGAGAGTCTGAAACAGTTTTTCGCTCCACCTGTCAAGGAGAGTGAGGGCGAGAAACCGCCATCCAAGCCACGCATAGTCTTGTCAAATGAGAATGATATTGAAAAGACACGGGGAGCAATCGCGGCTTTGCAAACATGGCTGGCAGATGAAGAGAAGAAGGGGGAGAAGGAGTTTGAACTCTTGACCACAAACGCATTCCTGCGGCGTTTCATGTATGAAACTATTCAAGAAAGCTTCCCAGGCTTGATCTTGGAAAGTCGGCCAACAAAGTCGCGAGGCCTATCCACACTTGTTGCGCTCAGACTGACCGATGTTGAAAAGTTGGAACGGGAAGCGCAGAAACAAAAGGAAAAGGAAGAGGAATTTCAAAACAAACTTGGATTGAGGCGAGTATTTCTGGCTTTGGCATCTGCAAAGAAACCATTGGTGGGGCATGCCTTGATGTTTGATTTGCTCTTTGCTCTCTCGCACTTTGAGAAACTACCCGAAAACTATGAGGAATTCAAAGAGCTATCTCACACGTTGTTCCCAACTGTTTTTGATACACAGCTTTTGGCGAAGAGCAATCTGTTCCGGATGAAGCCTACAAGGACGGCACTTGAGCCGAAGGATGGCGAGCCCTTGGAGCAAGTCGGTCCGCGGTTTTCAAGTTTTGCACTTGGCCAAGTTTACAAAGTCTTGAAAGAAGAGGAAGGCCGAGTCCAAAGTGAGTTGCCACCCATTGAAATCGCATTGGTGGAAGGCCACGAAAGGTACAACAAAGTGGCCAGCTTTCATGAAGCTGGGTACGATGCTTTCATTACGGGCTGTGTTTTTGCATATATGTGCGAAGAGTTGGCAAGGCAGCCAGATGAGTTCAATGGTCATTTGGTCATGTTCCGGAGCTTTTACAACTTCAATTTGAAGGGTGAGGACGAGTTGATCTCCAAGGGAGCTTATTTGCACATACAGGGGCTGAAGGGCTTAGGCGTGCAGGAGCTCCAAGAATCTCTTGGAATGGTTTTGACGCTTTGTTGGCACTGCACCGAACGGGCCCACTTAAGGTCTAAGGATGAGAGACTGTGCAGTTTGTGTTTTGGCAGCTTAGATGCTATGCCTGAAATGTACCGACACGACATGGCAACAAGGTTCGGAAGAATTTGATGCAAGTGCACCTTCAGCGTAAAATCCACCTGAATCCATATAAGAACACATAAAGGCATAGGAATTGATGGGTAAAAACCAGCAGCAACATGACTGAGGAAGGACGTGCAGAGCAAGCGCAGTGAGTGCTTGCAGCTCTCCACAGAATTTGAAGTGAAATGGATTGACGATGACAGCGCCTTTGCAATTTTTTTGGGAGACTTCGCGGCCACTGATTGATGCTATTTGTGAAGAGGTTGGAGCATCTGATGTGGAGTTTTGAAGTTTGATTTCAAGGTCAGATAGTCTTAGATAGCAGATAGCGAGCTTAATTGTGCCCGCAGGCTGGAGCCCAGAGCCTGAAGTTTACGGCCGGAGACCAGTGGTTTGCTTCTCAAGCTCCAGATGCGGACCTTCCGCCATCCAAACGGGCGCGTGTGGCATAGGGAACATGGCATGAATGGAAGCAACGTTCGAAGCTGCAAGAGGACCAGGATGAAGCAAGCAAGGCGAACTAGTTTGCTTCTGACTTCTGAGGGCTGTGTCCAATTGGACGCTGCACGCGGGCGGTGAACACTTTGAGCAGCTGCATGACGGGACACATGAAAGACCAATGACACTGATGCAACTATGTCAATATCTCAACCTCGAAGAGAACTAATCTATGCATTCTTTGGGCTGGCTGAGGCTCCAATGTGCCAATATGCCTGGCAACAGCCCGTGTGGCTGTGCTCAGTTTAGACGCGAAAGGGAACCCATCAGAGCGCCGGTGATCTCGTGACATAGCATGGGGGCATTTGGCTCCACATCAGGTGGCATGGCAGTCATTAAGGCCATGACCCATGACTTTGTTCGAAGCTCAGCTGTCCGAGTACGACTCTTCCTTTTTGAAGGTGTTGCAGTGCAGGTTTGCGATTGTTTTAGGTATTGCATCCAGACCAATTCGTGGGCTTGACCATTCAATCCAGCTACACCGATTTCCAGGCCAAATTGGTTAACTAAATTTTAACTGAGCAAATGGAATGCGCAGTTGTCTAACACCTGGAAGTGGCACAGGCATATTTCCACAATGCGCAGATGCACACGTGCCCCCCGGCCCTGTCTTCCAATGGTTCGATGCCCAGGGCTTTCAGTGAACAAACCCGATGTGTTAGCTCGTCGCCACGCTCGCGTGCCTTGGCACCGAGGAGCAAGCTTGTGTTCCCTACAGTCCAAGCTTTCCAGGCAAACCAGAAACATTGTAGATCCCAGAGGCCACTTCTTATTGCCCCTTGCTTTCCTGTCACTTGTGCGAGGCATGTCTCAAATTAACGCCCTGCGCCTCCAGAGGGTGTCTCAGCTGCACAATGGTCAATAATCACGATGAATGATGAGAATGGCAGGTGGACCACCCAGACTGGTACCCAGAGCTGTCATCCAAATCAACAGATCAAGACTTTGCAAAAGTACTATACCAGCCCTGACCTCAAGCAGGCAGCTTTGCATCAGCTTTGCTCCGGCCTTGTTCTTCGCATTTGGATTTGAGGCGTGGCACACCAGGTGTTCCTCGTGTTTGTGAGGCTGGAGCAAGAGTAAGTGTGCAAGCACACTGTGTCACTCCACTTTGCTGAGGCAGATGAGGCGGCAGGACACTTTGTTGACATGGAAGAGGCAGTCAGTTCTTTGTATATTAGTATATTGTGCTAGATGGGATTTCAATTTTTGTGGTGATGGTTAGTATCGAGCCCTCCATTTGATGAGGAATCGGCTTTGCAGGCCATGTCGCAGGAAGCGCAATTGGAGAAAGATAAAGTGCAGTCAGCTCTGGAGGCCATGAGGGCAGCCATGCAAACGTTGCAGCAAGTGGCCAGAGCAATTTGAGACTGCACGTTTGCATGTTGTTTGCAGGAAGTAATGGCAGCACAACAACGGGAGCATGTTCGAAGCGCCATCAAAGCGGACTACCCAGCTTCATTGGCGGTTATATAGTGAGATGTTTGACATATTAGTGACATTTCAAAAACATCAGTCGTGTTCTTCGGGTCTTGGCATTCGCCCCTTTGCGGCAGGGAGTGTCAGTTGTTTCCTCAGCTGGTGGTGACGGCGATGGGTGGATTGAAGACGGGAGCGCTGCTGAGGAGGAACGCCGCCGGCACACGATCGAAGCATGAAAGGCTTACTCTGAAGACTGAGCTTTGTCTCGAAAAGAGATTGGACTCAAACAGGGCCAAAGAATTGGCCGCTTCACCCTGAATGAAGAATGGTGGTTGGTAGGTACCAGCGGTACCAGGTACAGTATATAGTGAATTGAGTTGCAAATCCTACCAGCAACAATTTTGCATCGTTTTAAGCAGCTGTGAATTGAAGGATGGCTCTGAACAGCTTCCAGATGAAGTGGATGCCGCAGCGGCTGAGGCAGGAAGCGCCAACCTCCGAATTTCACGTGGTCAAGAATATGAACGCAAAAGCATGCAAAAGATAAACATACTAGGAGCTAAAAGCGCTACTAGGGGCTCCTGGCCTTACTACTAGGAGCAAGGACGCTACTAGGGGCTCCTGGCATCGCTACTAGGAGCAAGGACGCTACTACTACGACGCTAACATACAAGCTAAGAAGCTAGAAACAATTGCGATGCCAACCAAAACAACAGGAGAGTTCGTGGGTGGATGACCCCAGCCAGGCAGGGATTAGATGGGCGAATCTAGCCCCATATGAGGGTTTAGCAGAGCAGCTTGCCCTGCTTTTGCGTTGATTCTTAGGTATGGGGTTTTGTGAAGTATGATTGTTTGTCGTTTGTACATTGCGTCTTGTTCAGACATCAGACATCAGAGAGAGGGACTTGCATTTTTTGTTTGTCCAGGACGAGGTGGTTTCAGTTCCAGAGCTTCCAGAAGCCAAGGCTGTCATGACTGGAGATGGCAAGGATGTCAAGGCTGTCCACACGAATGCCGGGTGATTTGGTCATGGGGAGAAAGGGTGAGACAGAGAGAGAGAAAGAGAGAGAGAGAGAGGGGAGGGGAGGGATGGGGAGGGGAGGGGAGGGAGGAAGGACGGAATTGCACGCCTGTTTGGGGTCACATCGCGCAAATCTTTTTGTGCTTGAACTTGTAATGCAAATGAACAAGCCCCTCTGTACTGTAGACAGTATTGCCAGCACTGTGCACCTTTTGCACTTCTCAACCGTACTCTTACCTGCACTTCTTGTTTTTGCTTGTTAGCGGCAGTCCGATGCGATCACAGTGTTATACACAGAAGTCGTTGGGACTCGATCAGGTTGATGTGAGCAAGGACAAGGATGAAGCCAGCAAAGAAGAGAGAAAACCTGAGGACCTTTGCAAAATGCAATTCTTACAATCTTGCAGAGATGGGAAGACATCGGAATTGCAGTGCTGTAAGGAGGAGCCTGCAGAAGCAAAACCAGAACATTCAGAGGCATGGTCCTGTTTGTTAGGAAATCTTCTTCCAAGACAAATGTTCGGATTTTGGGAAGGGTGGGAAGGCTTACACACTGCTCTCACTGGCAGAGCCGGGGGGAACGTTTGGGAATCAGGGCATTCAACAATCTTGTGCGGGTGGGAGGAGCGCACGGAAGCAGAGCCGGAGGTACGGTCCTGGAAGTTAGTCAGCTCCTCCATCATTGAGGTTTCCATCGATGGAAGATCCCAAACCCCCACCTCTTACTAGTAATTCTAATTAAATTCTTATTGTTACTACTAGTAAGGCACCTGTTACTACTAGCGATGCACCTGTTACTAGATGCATCATGTCGCTTTGGAAGACTCAGGCTCATGCCAGCAAGAACAAGGGCAGCGCAGAGAGCACACCGAAGGACAGCTGTGAAATGGAACAAGCTTGGGGATTCAAATCACAGCCTTGCGCTTCAGAGGAATCTTCAGAAGAAAAGCCAACGGAGGCAGATAATGCCTTCCGCAAATATGTTTAGGAGGACAGGGTAGGGCCTACAGCACACTGTGGCCAGGCTGATGTCAACAAGGACAAAATAGAAGAAGCCAGCGAAGAAGATAGCAAACCAGAGGACACTTGCGAAACAAGATGAGCCTAAATGTGACTTGCAAATCCCGCTGCGGAGAGGAGCCGGCAGAAGCAAAGCCAGAGCATGCAGAGGCATGATCCTACGTGTTTGTTTGTCGTCTTCAACGACTAAGTTTGGGATATGGCGGGGGGCCTTAAAAATCAGGAGCACTTTGGCCAGGCTGATGTCAACAAGGGCAAGATAGAAGAAGCCAGCGAAGAAGAGAGCAAGCCAGAGGACACCTGCGAAACAAGATGAGCCTAAATGCGACTTGCAAATCCCGCTGCGGAGAGGAGCCGGCAGAAGCAAAACCAGAGCATGCAGAGGCATGATCCTAGGTGTTTGTTTGTGGTCTTCAATGACTAAGTTTTGGATATGGCGGGGGGGCCTTAAAAATCAGGAGCACTTTGGCCAGGCAGATGTCAACAAGGGCAAGATAGAAGAAGCCAGCGAAGAAGAGAGCAAGCCAGAGGACACTTGCAAAACAAGATGAGCCTAAATGTGACTTGCCAATCACGCTGTGGAGAGGAGCCGGCAGAAGCAAAACCAGAGCATAGAGAGGCATGATCCTAGGTGTTTGTTTGCGGTCTTCAAAGACTATGCGTGGGATATGGCTGGGGGCTTTGGCCAGGCTGATGTCAGCAAGGACAAGGTAGAAGCTAGCGAAGAAGAGAGAAAGCCAGAGGACACTTGAACATCAAGATGACCCTTAATCTGACTTGCGGGAATAGAGGAGCTTGGGAGCAGCAGCATGAACAATTGTGCTCCGTGCAGGAACCCACAGAAGCAAAACCAGAGCATACAGAGGCAAGATCCTGACTGCTCGTTGGTGCTCTTCAAAGATTCATTTCAAGACCGACTGAAAGTCTTGTCATGCCATTTGCCGTTGGGGCCTAGAAACACTGTGGCCAGGCTGCCAGCAAGGACAAGGCAGGAGCCAGCAAAGGAGAGAGCAAACCAGAGGACCGGCGTGGTGGTGGGAGTCGCCCCGAATTAGAGTCTTTTTGGAGGTTTTTGTCAAAGTGGACGGGGGAAGTGGGATGTCGGTTATGTAAAAGTAAAGGACAGGACGCATTCTTTGCATCATCAAAACTGGTCATGATTTATGGCAGGGATCAAGTAGTGAAAACTGATGATCAGGAAGCAAGCGCAAATTGTTGTGATTGATCTTGAAAAAGCTTGGAATGGGTAGCTGGGAACTGTTCCGAAAGAATGCAAGTAGCCGATGCTGCGCACATAAGTGGAGCTACACAATGGAATACGTCGGGTCACCATGCTGTCGGGCTCCAAAAAGTTTTTGGGGTCTAAACAGCAGGCTCCCAACCACTTCAGTGATCCAACCACTGTTGGTTTCTTTGTTTTCAAGATGCGAATGCAACCATGTGGAACTGAGCACAAAGTGTGCACGCACACGTAGATAAAACACACACACACACACACACTCATGGATATGCGTACTGATGTGATAGCGGTGCCACACGCCAGCCTAAGAAACCCAAATCCTGAAAAACCAGGTGAGGTCCATCAGCTCCAAAAGAAAAACGCCGAGCAAACGAACGACAAGGTGACGACGTGCGTGCAA